GTGGAGGGGAGGGTACAGGGCGCTGCTGCAGGGGAGGGTGGAGGGAGGGTGCTGCAGCAGCCACCCCAGGCCCTCTCGGGGCTCTCGCATTCATACCCTCTCCAGAGTTCCCAGAACTCTAAACTACCTGCAACTGGCAAAAATCACACCCCTCCTAGAGCACGAGACAGTCACACCCGGTGGCTGTGAACAATCAGAAGTAGCCCCATAGCCCACCCCTGGTGTTAAAACAAATCACATTCGCATAATGTAACTGGTTTGTTTTTTTTTTTTTTAAGAAACCAAAATTCTCACTACAATTTTTGCCCTGTTCAGTGGTTAAATCACCAGGGGTGGCATCTGGGCATAAGCTTGGAAATTTGAATACCTAAGGGTTAAATGCATGAATTTTAGCTTGATTGGATACCTCCAGCTCTGTGCTAGTCATTAGTGAACAGGCTCTATGAGAAGAAAATCCTCAACACCTTTGTGCTTTAAAGTCCTTGTGCTCATGAGAAGTACAGTTCTCTCACAGGTAAGACAGTAGGACACTGAATGCCAGGGGGTGGAGATTAGTGCTAGCTCCAGTTCACATGGTGGAAAGGGCTTCATGGAGATGAAAATTAAAGACTCTTACTCGAGAATGTAAGACAATAAGCTTTTAGGAAAAGAGAAAGCAGAGGCTGTCGTCATGGTCACCCAAGAGCTTGTTATTTCCGTTCAGATTCGGGAACAGAATCGCTATGACCTGAAGACAGCAGGGCCACAGTCTCAGCTGCTGGCGGGGATCGTTGTGGACAAGCCACCCTCTGTAAGTTTGAAGCACTGTCTCAGGGCCCCACCCTCCACAAAAATGTTTTGCTTTTTAATTTCTTCTCTCTTTTCTTACTAAAGTTGCTGAGAGTAACCGTTTTTTAAAAAAATGAAAAGAAACCATAAAACTTAAATGCCACATTTCATCCACATTTTCAGAGGCAAAGGTGAACTGTTCCTTGTCCTAAGGACAAGGAAGGAGCACTGCAGGTTCGAGGACAGCCCAGACAGCAGAGCATGACACCCATCTAAAAAAATGTATCTGCTTTCTCTCGGTTTATTAGTTTTAAACCCTGATTCATTTGTCAGGTGTCAAGTATTACTTGTTTCTCACTTAAAGAGGAAAGGCACTGCCAATTCCCGATTTCAGACACTGTTAAATATGGAATAAAGTTTATCTCAAAAATAAGAAGAGCAGTGACCCTTTTATGGATGAACATTTAGTTCAGCCTGTTCACAGAGTGCTTCAGGTCCTCCACACTGCCTCCTGGGAGCTGTGTTGCATTTGATTTTTGTTTGCTTGTTAATAAACCACCTTTCAGGGTTTATGTTATTATGTGTTTACTATTTGAGCCAGGTGGGTCTCCCATGGTTACATTTCTTTCCTTTCTTACACAAACTCCCAGGCTTGAGTTGGCAGTTGCTTTTCTTTTGCCTTAGCACTGTGTTCAGGGATCCGTTACCATAATTCTTAGCATTGTGTTCAGGGGTCCGTTACCATAATTCTTAGCATTGAGTTCAGGGGTCTGTTACCATAGTTCTTAGCATTGTGTTCAGGGGTCTGTTACCATAGTTCTTAGCATTGTGTTCAGGGGTCCGTTACCATAGTTCTTAGCATAGTGTTCAGGGGTCCGTTACCATAGTTCTTAGCATTGTGTTCAGGGGTCCATTACCATAGTTCTTAGCATTGTGTTCAGGGGTCCGTTACCCTAGTTCTTCTCAGACCTTTGATTTGATCCTCAGAACCACACACAAAAGAGATTGCAAATAAATAACCTTAGTGATTTACCTGAGAATTATAAGCCAACTCCAACTTTAGTAAGAGAAGAGAATAAAGGTCAGAGTGGAGGCTCTACATATCCACAGACAGCTAGATCCATAGAGACTGACAACACATAGGCCATTGTAAACAGACGAGAAAGGAGACCCACAGAATACAGTTAGAGCTGAAAAGTATGATACTGAAACTCAGGAAATCACTGGGGAGTACTCTCAAAATTTATATTCTAATAAGTTAGAAAATCTAGAAGAAATTGATAAATTTCTATGTATGTATGGCTTATCAAAGTGGGCCAAGTAGCTTAAAAACAAAGAAATAAAAATAACTCAACAGATCAATAACAAGAGTCAAGACCAAAGCAGTAACAGTCTCCCAACAAAGAAACCCTTGGCCTCCAGCATCACGGTTGGATTCTATCAGACCTTGTAGAAGACCATTTTTCCTCCAACTCCTAGCTCATAAACTGGCAGAGGAACGCGTACTCACTCTGCATGCACAGTAATGCCGTAGTCACCCCACCAGATAGAGATACCATGGGGAAGCTACAGGCCGGTTTTCTCGATGAACATAGATGCATAAATCATCAATACAATGTTTACAGATTAAACTTAAGATATTGAAAGATCACACTGTGATCTAGTTGCTTTCATTGTAGGAATGTAAAGCTGGCTGGACATCTGCAAATCAGTAGACATATGGCACATAGACATACAACACGTAAACACGAGACAGTGAAAATCACATGTTCATCTCAATAGATGCAAAAAACAGCCTTTGTCAAAATTCAACATACCTTTATGATAAAAGTCCTGAAGAAGCTGAACATGGTGGTACATACCTTTAATTCCAGTACTTGAGAGGCAGAAGTAGGTGGATCTCTGAGTTTGAGGCCAGCCTGGTCTACAGAATGAGTTCCAGGACAGCCAGGGCTACACTGAAAATCCTGTCTCTAAAACCAAAAAACAAACAAAAATCCTGAAAAACATTAGGAATAGACATTTTGTACGTCAGCATAGTAACGCCAGTGTATAGTAGGCCTGTAACTAACATCGTACTGAGTGAAGAAAGACTAAAGAGAGATAAGACACTCCTGAGCAGTGAGCAAGAGGAGGAGAAAAGGACAGAGGAGACTATGAAATTCAATTATCCTTATTAAGAGAATAGCTTTGTTACGGAAAGCCATCTATAGATTCAGTAGTCTCACACACACACACACACATATGCACAGAGAGAGAGAGAGAGAGAGAGAGAGAGAGAGAGAGAGAGAGAGAGAAGAGAGAGCCCAGAACCCATGGGACCTGTGACAAAGTACCAAAGATGTGTATCAAGAAAAGGCAGGGAACTGCTTATGCACTTTTAGAGGGCTAAAACTAGGTCCCTACTTCTCACCCTACACAGAAATCAATGCAAAATGTATCAAAGACCTTAAATAGGACTTGGAGTTCTGACACTGCTGTGAAAAACATACCAGGGCTGGAAAGATGGCTCAGCACTGACCTGAGCACTGACTGCCTACCCTTCTAAAGGTTCTAAGTTCAATTCCCAGCAACCACATGGTGGCTCACAACCGTCTGTAATGGGATCTTATGCTCTCTTCTGCTGTGTCTGAAGACAGCTACAGTGTGCTCACATACATTAAATAAATCTTTTTTAAAAAATTAAACAAAATGAAAACAAAACTAAAATTCACCTGGAAGTACAAAGGAGGACCCCAAATACCCCAAGTAATCCTGAGCAAAACCATAGACAGAAGACTGCAGCTAAACGTCTCCCCTCGTGTTGTACAAGTCACCTCAGGCCTTGGAGTAAGTACTTCAAAGTTAGAAATTTTGAAACCCATAGAACTTTTCAAAAATTATAACTGATTAAAGTGACTTTTTAGCAAAACTTATTTCAGATGAGGAAATGTCGTACCATGAGTACAATCCCAATGGTCCTTGGAACTTTTCCTCACATGTGGTCATACTTACGTCCCCCACCCCACCCCTTACTCTTGCTTACCCCTCCCCAGCCCCTTCCTGTTTTCACGATCCCCTTTCACTCTAGATTTCACACAGGACAGAAAGCTGCTGTCAGGCCTCCTTGTGCTCAGTCATTTTCACTGACCAGTGATCTCCAGCTGAAGCCATTTTCCTCTGATAGTCTGACTTTGTTGGTCTTTGTGGCTGAGTAATGCTTGTTTGTGTATGTGTACGTTTTCTTTCATCACTCATCTTTCTCCATGGAACTCGGTTATATTTTGACTTTGACTGCTTCAGATAGATATACCAGGAGTTGTATACTTGGGTCATATGGTAGCTCTGTTTATAATCTGATAAGAATATTTTAAAAGTTAAAAAGCATGTCGCTTTGTCATTTCTTACAGTTGCTATGAAGTAGGTAATCACTAACATCTATATGAGTATATAATTTGTGTGTGTGTGGAGGAGACGGTGTAAATAGGCAACAGGTAGGTAAAGATATGTAAAGCACTTGGTAATGAATGTAACCTGTTGGGTTTTCCTTTGTAAGACCATGCAGTTTGAAGATGATGATCAGGGCCCACCAGCTCCTCCTAACCCGTTCAGTCATCTCATGGAAGGAGAACTTGAAGAGTATACGAAGACAATCGAGAGAAAGCAGCAAGGCCTGGATGGTGAGTTCCTGCTTAGGTTAGGTCCAGGGTCAGCGCACTGACCACATAGAGCACCCAAGCCGGAGGACAGAGGCAGGGCTTCTGCGCGCTCTTCAAGCTCCTCTGTTCTAGACCTTTCCGAGTACAGAACCACTCTGCAGCTCAGACAGAGGAACCTGTTCTTCTTGGAACATAATCAAAACATGGGCTGTATTATCATACAATCTATAACACCAAGGCCATAGGAATAAAGAATTTCCAGACACAGTAAATACAGGTCTTGCTTTGAACATTGCAGAGTATGTGGATTTTTAGTGGTGGATTCTCCAGTACATGATTTTAATGCTTTGTGAAATCTCTGTTCCTGGTGTCTCAAGTTGCCAATATAGTCATTTCAAAGTCAACATTTAATGTAAACTGCTAGGAATTTGAAGTGACTTTCCTGGACACATGGCTGCTCTAATGCAGTGGAGTTTTTCTGTTGTTGCAGGTCTTTGTAAGTTTCTAATGGGATAGTTAAGGACTGATGATGAAGGGCCAACAGTAGAGGTGCATGCCTGTGACCCCCAGCACCCAAGGCTGAGCCAGGAGGGTTTTCTGAAGAGTAGCCTAAGCTAAATGGGAGATCGAGTTAATAATAATAATAATAATAATAATAATAATAATAATAAATTGTTAGTAAGAAGCACTAGTACTTGAGTCCTAGCTCTGCTTTGCTCCAGAATTAAGGATTGACCTTAGCAGGGCACTGGGGCTGGGGCACTGGGGCTGGGGCACTGGGGCTGGGGCACTGGGGCTGGGGCATTCAGCCACCTGAAACACCATGAATTGTGTGTAAAGATGTCTGGGCAGGAAGGATTCAAGGAGGAGGATTAGAAGTCTCTGGTCCAGTAGGAGCCTCTGCGGTGGTGCGTCTGCATTTAGCTACAGCTAGCATTTCTACCTGAGGAAAACACTCAATAATAAAAGAATTGTTATCTGTGTTAGATGACACCTGGACCATCCAAGAAATCATTTTTATTAGTATATTTGTGCCTTTAGTACAAAAACAGTTACCCTAGTCATTAATGTACTTACAGAAAGTAGTTCTAAGTGGCATATTTACCTTGTTTGTTCTAACATAAGATGGAAACATCTTTTATATTTTATAAATCTCTTATTTTTGAAAGCCTAACGATGCCAGGTAACAAATACCATACTCTGGATGTCACCTTTTACATATAGTTTTGTAGCTGGTTCCTTTTACATTCCTGCATAAGCTCGCTAATACTGCTCTAACCAGAATCACTAACCGGAAATTGCTAGGGACTCAGTGGAACCTCTGCCTCGTTCATGTAGCAAACCTGCTAGGCTTTGTCAGTCTTTTCATCTAACTGGATATTTTGGTTTCCTGTACTAGCAAAAGCTAAAGCATATGTAGTCTTCATCTGGGCTGCCAATATCCATGCTTCTTTTAACTCAGTATGCAAATTACTGTTCATGGCCAGAAGTTTAACACATCAGCCTCCTCAGAATCCTAGTGACTGACTGACCTGTGGGATGACGGTTAGCATGTTCAGTTCGTCGCTGATGAGCTTGCCGTCTCTGTGAGCAGGCATTGGATGTGCACACTAACCTCTCTGAAACCGTAAACTACCTTGTTTTGTCTGCATGGCTTTTAACTGAACATCTTATTCAACAGACGCTGAGCAAGAATCACTCTCAGATGACGCTGCATCTGTTTCACAAATTCAGTCTCAAACCCAGTCACCGCAAAGTGTCCCTGAGAGATTAGAAGGTATTCAATGTAACTCCCCACAGTCGTCACCTCGTAAGTTCTGTCATTTGTCCCCATGGAAGCGATCAGACGCTTGATCACAGTCCCTCTGTCCGAGTGTTCCACACGTAGGAGATAGACAGGTGCTACTTTTACTCACTGTGGTTTTCACTGACTCACTTTGGCCTGGTTTGAGCCAACCCATAGTTTGTATGAATTTGTGGAATTAAAATGACTTGCCGTGTCATGCACCTTCTAATCAATAGCATGAAGTTGTGTACAGTTTTAAATGTCAAATGATCCTCAAACATGTACCGTCATCATCTTTGCTTATAATGATTGGATTTACAATGGGAAAACAGATCATGAGACTACAGTTCTGACTGTTCAACACTTGTCTTCTCTTCCCTTTGTATCATTTAAGAAGGTTAGCTTCATGCTAATAGATACATATGTTACTAAAATAATAATCCATCCTCATTAAAACTAAAGCAATGAATGGCTCAGGACATTGCTAAATCTCAGTTTTGCAAACAAAACAGAAATGTTGACTAAATAAATAATCTAATCCACCCAAACCCTCTCCTTTTGTAGAAAACCACGAGCTATTTTCCAAGAGCTTCACCTCCATGGACGCGCCTATCATGATTGTGAACGGCAAGGACGACATGCATGATGTTGAAGATGAGCTTGCTCAGCGAGTCAGTAGACTAACAACAAGCACGACCATAGAGAACATCGAGATCACTATTAAGTCCCCAGAAAGAACTGAAGATGTCCTGTCACCTGACGGCTCGCCTTCAAAGTCACCATCCAAGAAAAAGAAGAAATTCCGCACGCCTTCTTTTCTCAAAAAGAACAAAAAAAAGGAGAAAGTTGAGGCCTAAGTAGTCTTTTTGTAATTTGTATGTTACATTGTGGCATTGCACAGTTAAATACCGTATTTTAGTTAATCGTTAATATACGGTGGTAGATCAGATTGGGAGTACGTAGCAAACTAGACTTTAAAAAACTGGAAAGAGTTTTTACTAAAAGAAAAATATTATTGAAAACTTTCAAATTCATCTCTTTTTATATGTCCAAAAATGACTAAACTGTTCAACAGTCGCTGGTTTTACTTAGCTCTGCCCTCATGGAGCGTTGTCATGGCTGCTCATGTGCAGGCGCTGCCTGTCACTGCAGGCTCTCTACATCATGTATGTGGGAAAGAAATTGCAGTGAACAAGAGAGAATTCTTACTTCTTCACAGCGCTTCACTTGCTACTCAGACTATAATTTTGTCATGGTTACCGACTGTATCTTTGGGTCCCCCCCATTGTTTCCATGGGCATTAATGGAATGCTTTAAAAGCTTCTGCAAGATTCTAGAACATTAGTATACATTGGCACATCATTTTTTAAAAATACCTTAAGATTTGTTCGGAATTTTACTCATAGTATGAAATTCCCTTGCCTGAAGTAACTGTTTGCCAAAAAAAAAGTCATTTTAATAAACTATAATTTTTGAAGAACGTCCTTTTTTATTAGTTTAGAAAGCCCCTTATTTTTCACAGAGGGGATTTTGTACACATAATATGAGTTATTTAGTTTAACTCTTGCAAAAAACAATTTTTGTATGTTAAAACGTTTGTATACCTTCAGTATAAGGTGTCATGTGCATTTTAGCCAATCAGTTAAGAGTAAAGCATACCTGAGGCTTCTTGGTCCTGAGTGTAATTCAAGAGCCCAGGGACACGGCATCCAAAGGGCATATAAAAGTCTGGAGTCATATTTGAACGTATAATGTATTTTTCTCTTAGTATTGCTGATGGATGAAGAGCATCTCATGAGGTAACAAGGGGAAGAGGCTGAAGGGAACAGGAGAGTCAGGGACGGGAGTGAGGAGCAGCCGGACGGACGGTGATGTGTCCACAGGAGAACATGGGGATGGACTTACTGACAATAAGGCCCAAATTTCTAAAATCCTGTTTCCTGCCAAAATCAATGTCTTGGTCAACATTGAGTTTTAAAGGAGGTTAAAGTATACATTCTTTTAGAAGACGGACAGCACTAGAATGAATCAGCAGGTCTAATCCCACCAGCGAGAAGACTACCACGTCTTGATTTTTGCAAACTTAATCTTGATTTTTACAAACTTAAATTTTCTTTAACTTCCTTTCTACTGTAAATACAAAATTTAAACCTAGATTTAATATAGTTTTCTCCATTTTCCCAAGTAATGTCACAGATCAATGTAAATGGATGATCCAAAATATTCAGTGAGTGGAAATAAAGCGCCCTGTCAGGTGAGCTGGCATGCAGATGTGACGTTGACCACAGTGCTCTCTGGGCTGGTTCTGTCTGACTGTGTGATGCTGCAGACGTCCTCTTAGATCTCACTAACTACTGGAACCTGTTAGTCTCCTAGTGGAAACTTTGAGTTGCTGAACTGTGTATCTGAGGATTGTTTTATGTTCTACATCATCTTTGTTGTATTACAACGTGTGTAGACACAGTAACCTGTGAACTCTCCTTTTCCATAACTTTTAAAGAATATATATATCTAAATGAATGCAGTGTGCATACATATTTTTTAAACACAACAGTAAACTATTGCACCTTTTTGCTAATGCTTCTCTTTCCTTGCTTTGACATAATGAATGAGCCAGTGAACTCAGTGTCCTGTGGAAAAGGTGTCAAAGTTACCTGACACTGCTCTTAGATGTTATGCTAATTAATGTTAAATCACAATAAACGGTATTTTAAATATGTGCATTGGGTATAATGAAGTTTCCATTCAGGAGCGGTTTCTTAGTTTAAACTTTGTGTTCTGCCAAACTTTATGTGAACCGGTGAAGTGATAAAATTGTCCTCTGAGTTAAGGGGTCTTGATAAGCTTGTTTTTAATTTAGTAAAAAGTTCATACATATATCTGGGCTTGGTGGCACATGTCTTTAATCCCAGTACCCAGGAAGCAGAGGCAGATGGATCTCTGTGAGTTCCAGAACAGCCAAGGCTACAATAGTAAACTGTGTCTTAAAATATTTTATATACGTATATGCATCATGTATTACATGTATTTACATACGTGTGTGTGTGTCAGACGTTTTTGTCCTGGTCAGGTGTGTGGTCTAAGACTGCTGCTGGGATAGACATGTGAGCTGTGTGCTAAGCTCAAGCATTGAAACCACACGGACAGCAGTGCAGGGAATAAGCAGAAGAGAGAAAGCTCACACTTCTCTGTTAAGGTTTGATTTGTTTTCCATCCTCTAGCTCCTGCCCAGTTACATTTGTATTTCCTGTATGTCAGCCATGATAGCATGAATATCATTTGTGTCCTGGTTTTTCCTACTTAAAACAACCCGCCATAGAGACACCTGTAATCTCAGCACTTGGAGGTGGAGGCATGGAGGCTCAGGGGCTCAGGCCTCAGCTCTTGGAGGCCCTGTCTTCAGAGAGATAACCACACCCTTAGAGGTTTGCAACCAGATCCCTCACAGGAATAATTGATTTTGATTTTTTTCTACTTTGTCCTAGAAGTAGAGTGCAAGAAGCAGATGTAACACTAGCTGGAGGGTCTCACTAATCAAAGCTTTTACTATGATTGCCTAGTACAAAAACAAAGGACTTCAGAGAAGACTAGATTGATATTTTGGGCATAATGACTTGTTTCCTCAGTTTGTAAATAGCTCAGTGGTGAAAAACAGTGTTTCAGACCAAAAGCCTGCTTTCCTAAAGCAGCACAGACCATTACCCGTGTTCTCATCTGAGTGTAGCTTTGCCTAACTATTTTTTAAACTCAGATACTATGCTTATATGCAAATGAATTGGCAAGACTGGTATTTTAAAAAGCAGTTTTCTTTGTGGCCACTAGGGGGTGTGACTAACCTAACAATCCAGTGTCCGTTTCTTGCAAGCTACTTTTTTCTTAGACTGTAAATACCATGTTCGTTGTGAGGAACTTGTTTCTTTTGTTGCCTATTCTCACGAGCGTGTTCCTCGACTGTGTTCTTTTAGCAGTTCTTAGTTCACCAGGACAGTATCACCGCAGCAGTTGTGATGTCTGTGGAGAGTTACCTAGACGGTAACAAGAACAAGAGACAGCCCACAGGTTCATGCTTGTGACAATGTAATGCCTTTTTCTCACTAAGGAAGTGCTTGATAATGCCTGTCCCTTTTATGTCTCTTTACACCAAAGATTACGGTATGCATAATCTTTGTATCCCAATAAAACAGACGGTAGTACCCCCATTTCGTAGATGATAAAACTCAGGCTTGTAGAAGAGAGACCAGAAGTCCTGGTTTTTGTCCATAGATTCAGAACCCCAAAATTTGCAGTGCTTTGTGCTTCTCTCCATGTGGCTCGAGTTAGTTGTTTTGTTTTGTTCTTAGAAAAGAGCCAAGTCCAGCCACAACGAACTAAGTCAGATAAAACACTGACTTTTGATTTGAAAGAAATTTTCTTCCTCACAGTCACTTCAGAATGAAGAACCTATGGAAGGAGAGATGCCTGTGGCGGTTTCTGCCCAGAGCATCAGCTCCTGGGTCTTAACGCCAGCAAAGCCAGAGGCCTGGATCAGCTTCAGAGGGGGTCTTGGCCCAGGGGCACCCTTGTCCTTCTGTGGAGAGTCAGAGGAGACATTCAAAGATGGTTTTAAAACCTGCAGAGTTGGTTTGTCTAGACATAAATGTAGATTTCACAGTGGAGGAATCATACTTATTAAAGTGAATATTGAGATGGCCTTTCCTGGGGAGAAGACCTAATCACATGCTGGAGTGGGGAATGGTTAAGTTTGGAGGGGCTGTTAGTAGGAAAAAGTGGTAAACTTGGTTTTCAAATGGAATTCGTTGCCAGGAGACGGGTGTAAGGAGGCGGTCTGGAGGAGTCCTTAGTTAGTGGAGGGAACTGACTTTAATTGTTATTTTAATCTTGACTTGGAACTGGATGAGTTTGCGTTGTTGGTAGGTACACTCTAAAGTTGAGGGAAGTTTATAGATATCCCCTTATGTCTGTGCTCCTTAGAGCCAGTTATCGTTCTTCAGAGGGATTGTACTGCCTAATACACCACAGAGGGGACCGAGTCAGAACCCAGGCAGGGTCTTCCACATCTGTGCCTCTTGCTTTCCTGCCGTGATATGGGTGCTCTCAGAACCCACGACACACAGCTCGGGATCAGGAAAGTGCTAACAGTTCTGCAAACCTTGCAGATAGGAATGGCTGGGTAAAGGGCATGAAGTGCAAGAGCATGCCTGAGTGTTGGTTATCGCTCACTGTCTTCTTAGCATTTAAGCTTACTAGGGCCTGGAGAGCTGGCTCTGTGGTCTGGAGCACCAGAGGTCTGGGTTCCATGGCTTCATCTACAACTCTAGGAGATCAGTGCCCTCTTAGGACCTCCAAGGCACCAGACACATGTGATGCATGGACATCCATTCATGCAAACATTCATACACATAAAAACAAAATTTTAAAATCTAATAAAAAATGAAACTTTAACATGTTTGTAAGCATTAGGTTCTCGTTAAATCGTTTAAATATCTTTATTCTCCCCAGTTAATGATGGCACTGATTTCTTTCCACATGGAACTTAAAGTCACTTCTGATTTAAGTTACAAATGCACATTTTGATATTTCTAGTACCTATCAGGAACAGAGAGAGAGAGAGAGAGAGAGAGAGAGAGAGAGTGTGTGTGTGTGTGTGTGTGTGTGTGATGGGGGGCTAATCTGCAATTGTTTTTGAGACCTGTAGAGTTTCTGTTGAGAAAGGCTTGACCCAGAGCCTATGCTGAAGGCTATTGAAATAAGCCAGTTTGGGCTTCTAGGTTGTACTGTTAAACACTTTAGAGTTTTGCCCTTCTCTACAGCCAGCCTTGATTCTGAGGGCATGGAAATCCCTTATTTTCAGTCTCAAGTTAACACCTGTCATTAGGCAAGTTTCCTGCTGAGTGTCTTGCCTGAAAAGAAATAGCATGGGTTTGCTCATTGAATTGAAGGTTAATGTGTGTTTCTTTTTGCTTGTTTTTGTTTTGTTTTTTAAGAGAGAGACAGAAGAAAGTTGGGTTGGTAGGAAGGTTGGGAGGATCCTGAAGAAATTAGAAGAGAAGAAAAACATAGACTAAATATATTGTGTGACAAAATTTATTTCCAGTTAAAAAAAATAAAAGGCTAGCAGCCCAGCCCAGCCTAGAGTCCGGGTAGTGCTAGGGCCTCTCCAGTGATTGCTGGCCAGGCCACTGCCCTTCGAGGGAGGGACCTTTTCTTCACAGACAGGATCTAAACAAACCTCCTCCTTCGAGCTGTCGCCTGCGGAAGGTCCCCAGCAAACTCGGGTCAGGGAAGCACTGTGCTGTCACTGGCCTGTTCCGGTTGGGTAATGCTGAGGGGTGGAGTGCACTGGCAACTGGTGTGACAGATGTTGACTCCAGAGTCGATGGCCCCAGTTTTATGACAGAACATGTAGATACAGCCAACTTGTTGCAAGCACAGGCAAACCTTCCAAAGTCGTTTCCCGGACTAACAAGGTCAGACATTACTGCCTACCTGCTTGCTATTGGAAATGTTGGCTTCAATTGTTTCAAATGAAAGAAAGGTCATTTGAGGAAAAGAAACCCCAAAATGTATCCCAAATATAATTTACTAATCCACAGAGGCTAGGGAGGGGGAAGGCTCCTTTCCTTCTGAGTTTCTCTGGTTTGTAGGCTTCTCTACTTAGTTTTAAAAATATGTACATTGTGAGACCGTATCCCATTTTTTAATTAAAACAATGCATATTTGTGTTTGCGCGCACACTCATATGTACACGCATGCACACACAAAGTATGATGGGGCTTTGTTTAAATTATTTCTTAAATAGCTCTGACTCTTAGGATTATGTACATGAAAGTATTTTGGCTCCATCTGACCTTTAGGTTAATATTGAGCAAGAGAGAATATGCACATATACTTGCCAAAGAGTAACCATGGCTCAATTAACTGCAATGCTGGGCACACTGGGTGGGGCAATTCTGGAATTGTTCCCACTCACTGGGCAGCTCAGGTATGAGGCTGTCTTGAGGTGAAAGAGCCACTCGCAAGTTCAAGCCAACAAGTGAGACCTGGAACCTCAAGAGAGCAAGCATCTGTTAAGTGCTCTGTGTGGGGATGCTCCAGTCCCTGTCACTGCCTTAGCAAGAGCACAGGGCTGCAGCAACAGGAGCCCCAGACAGACAGAGCCTCAAGGGCAGCCCTCCCTTGCTCTTCTATGGACTAATGTCAGAATCAAGGCAGGACCTCAGATCTAAGGGACCAGGGCACACACCACAGTTAAGACCGGAACTCAGACTTACGGAAATGGCCTGTGAGAATCCTGTTATCACTGAGAAGTCAGAGACCAGGCACTGTTCAGAGCCAAGGCGAAGTCTGGCCTGGCTGGGTACAAACTTGACTTTGTGTGAGTACTGTAAAGAGAAACCTGGAAACCACAGCCAGATGAACAGGTAGGTGGCCGAGTACTTCAGAGGCAGAAAAGGCCTGACTGGGTTTTCACAGGAAGTGGTCTGTGTGATAAGGAGGCACTGGGCTGCGGGAGGGTCTTACGCCAGAACCTGCCTAGAGCAAGAGGAAAGACATTGAGCAAAGGCCAAGTGCTACCCAGAGCCGCAGAGATGCTCTTCTGTTTAGAGTGTCTGGAGGTCATTTCCCATAGAGCACTAAAATTGCACCTCAGGAGCACTGCTGGGCAAAAGAGGATCAGAGTGTGGTCAGGGCTTCCAGGTGTGCCCGCGAAGGAGCCTTGG